ACGCGGGGCTTGAACCCACGAACCGCGAGATCATGACCCGAGCGAAAGTCGGACGCTTAACCGACTAAGCCACCCAGGTGCCCCTAAACTGCATGTATTTAAAGTGTATGATTTGTCAAACTTTGGGAGTGCTGGATAATATACATTATCTTCATTGTGATGATAGTTTCATGATTGAACATATATGTCAGAGAACATCAACTACATCAGTTTTAATGCTTCAGTAATATTTCATCCTGTGAAAGTGTTCTAATTTGTTTCTTCCTCCTCTCATATTGGGCAGTAAAATTGCTTTCCCTTTTATCCCCCATCATTAAAAAATAATAGCAGTTAAGTGTCATACAGATGAAACAGCATGGATGAACAGAAAATACTGGGTATGGTTTGTGGAAGACAAGTTATAGTAGGTTGCTTGGCAATGCCGTTAAGTGAGGGAAGAGGAGCTGGAGCGTGGCATGGGATGATGAGAAATACCCAAGCTGGGCTGTGCTTCAGTAATGAGCTGTCATGTGTCATGATGGGCAGTTCTGAAGTGATAACGTATGCAAGCAGTACAGCAAACCATGCTGGCCTAGGGTGGTGACAGCTGCCTACTTGGGGACAAACTGACTGAAGCAGGAAAGAAAAGACCTTTCTTCCTTCTTAAGAATGATTTTTAATTACAAGAGCGTCTGTTCATTTTTTAAAAAAGCAGGAACTATTTGTGCGTAAAGTGAAAATCTTCCCCTCAACCCAGTTCTACTCCCTCTAGTCCACCCCTGGAAATATTGTGGTAGGTAACTTTTTAGGCATTTTCTGCATATAGTTTTAGTGACATCCAAGTTTAAATCTATACACCTAAACATGGTTCTTCTATGTTTATTTATTTCTCAGAGAGAGACAGAGCACGAGCGGGGGAGGGGCAGAGAGAGAAGGAGACACAGAATTCATAGCAGGCTCTAGGCTCTGAGCTGTCAGCACAGAGACCTACACAGGGCTCGAACTCAGAGCCCTCAGTTCATGATCTGAGCCGAACGCTCCACCAACTGAGCCACCTGGGTGCCCCAACATTGTCTTTTAAAAACAGGACTGCGGTAAAAATAATGCGTGGCAATTTGCTCTATTGACTGACTGTGTTGTGGCTCCCTTTTCATGCCAGGGCGCTGCCAGGGCGTCTGCTCCCCTCGTTCTCCAACCCCAGCTCAGGATGCATCTGTTGTGCCCTGGTCTCAGCGCCAACCCCTAGCTGGCTCCGCTGGAGACCACAAGACAGAGTGGGCAGTGAAAGGATTGCCTGGCCAGTGGGCGGGCCTTCTCTACAGCAAGCTCCGCCCCTGCTCCTCGCACAACCGCACTTAAAGGATTCGAGCTGCTTTCAGCCCCCTCGGGCACCTTCCCCCTCCCTGTCCCATGGCCTCTCCTCTACTCCAAGTTGCAAACTCAGAAGCTTACAGAAGCCCAGCAAGTCAAGATAAGCGGGCTCGAGAGAAGAGTATTGTAACTGTAAGAAGTGGAGCCCTGTTTGAATGGCAACAACTACTTACCCCACTACTCACACATAACCCCTTGTAAAGAGAAAGTATTACCAGAATCTCTGAATTTTCCTTGAAGAAGCCAGGAAAAGTCTTTATGGTTCATTCTTTACACTCTCTCCAATTAGACCAAGATGTGGAGACTAGGAGCTGTGTTTTTACTTGCCTTTCTATCCCCTGCGCACCAGACACTTACCGATGCTTTTTTTTTCTTGCCAAATTTCCATTTAAATTCTAGTTAGCTAATAAAGAGTGTAATACTGTTTTGGGGAGTAGAATTCATTGATTTCATCACCACAAGTGCCCTCCTTAATCCCCACCGCTCATTTAGGCAAACCCTCACCCATTTCTCTTCACCAATGTTTTTTGAATGAACAAACTAGAAAAAATTCCAAATCCCAGACATTATTTTTTTTTAAATTCCCAGTGCTTTTGTCAACAACCACCATATTTTGCCTTACATTATGGTTACTTAGGTGCTTGTCTTATTTATTTTAATAATGCCAATGCTCTTCAAGGGCTGAGGTCGTGTTTCATTTTTCATGTAGTTTTATTTATTTATTTATTTATTTATTTATTTATTTATTTATTTATTTATTTTGCTGTCTCTGTTTTTCCTATAATTTTTAGGACAGTGTCTTGCACAAAATCAGTATTTTATCAATCTTTGTGGAATAAGTGAATAAGTTAATGAACAAATAAATGCATCTGCCTACAAATGTGGCTGATGAGAATGAATTGCACAAGGAAAGGAAAAATAATAGTCTGGAAAATAAATGGTGGAATTCTTTTAAAAATTTTATTTTTAAGTGATCTCTACACACAACATGGGGCTCAAACTTACAACCATGAGATGAAGAATCACATCCTCAGCCCATTGAGCCCACCAGGTGCCCCAATAAATGGTAGAATTTTCAAACTAAACCAAGTTGACTTATAATATTACCTAGCACATTATTTTGAAATTGTTTCACATGCAAAGAAATGTTGTTACATTTCTTTAGAACAAAAATTTGAAACATGACTGTATTTTAAATGAAAAAGCCACTTTGTTCCTTAACAAAAGAAAGGAGAATGAAGCCTGATTTAGGACTTAGGTTTCCTTCCCCCAAAAAGATACTCTCTTGGAAATAGCTGACTGGTGTATACCATATGTTTTTTCCTTCCCTTTAAAATCCAAGGAGTTCAAATTCAAAATTAAAAAAAAATAGCATGTTTTTCTGACTATAATAAAATCTAACTTTTTGTACGCGTCCACTGCTAAGGAGAAGTGACAGAGACCAACCATTCTGGAACGAAAAATAATTTTTTACGGCAAAATACATTTTACCAAAGTCAACCACTGCTGAAGGGCCTCACTCGACAGAAGTTGAATGAGGAGGGAATTTAGCCCCTCTTTTTTCTACCAAAAAGTACATTTTTAGGAGTTATTTCCTACTTAGCATTTGATTATAACAACCTGTAGAGGGCGTCCTTGCACCAGGAGCCATAGAGGTTTGAGCACTGCAAAGGAAAAGTTTCAGTTAAGGCCACAGTTCATTTGGAGTCAAAGAAAATGTCTACTGTGTTTTGAAATTATCTTTAATTGGAAAACGATTGGCATTAAAATGTTAAAGGGCTTTAAAGGCTGCCTAATGTATGAATACATTATAGAAATGAATGTGAACTGAAATCAAAACTAATAAAATGTTTGAAAAGAGGCAAATATTCTTATTCTAAAGGAAGAATGCCTGTGAGGCTTGGGATGTATACACTTAATTATAATTTACTTAGCAGTACGAGGAATAGCGGCTAAAAGAATGGCCTTTTAACTCAGAAGGTCTGCGGTTTGAACCCTGACTCTCCCCCTTACCAGCTGGGTGACCACAGGCAACTTCTGGGGCTTTTTGGAACCGCACTTCCCCATCAGTAAAATGGGAATAATAATAGTGCCTTGTTAAAAGAGTTGTAAGTACTTACAAAGTTAAGTCACTGCAAGTTCAAAACAGTCATAATTAGACATCTTGTCTAATTAATTTTAAAGATCAACAGTTGTAAAGCTGAAAATATTTCATAATTGGAAATGCATCTTCTGTTCTTTTTAGTAACTTGCCACGACCTAACATTTATTTAATTGAATGCGTGCACATGTTCGGCTTCTCTTCAGTCCGTTCTGTTTGTTTTCCCCTCTTGAGGTGTCCACTACTCTACAAAGGACCGAGTGAAACACCACACCCAGCCCTAGACACTCGATCCTTGGGCATTTGTCACAGCATCTGGGTGCCTAAGAACAAAGAGAAGTAAACAACCCTTTTCTGAGTCTGAAATCTTTCGAAGCATTTTTTTTTTAACCGTTTGCTTCCGTTTTCTTTGCACAGCCAAGGGATTAGTCAGAGAGCAGGTTAAATCCCTTCTGCAGAGCTCGGGTATGTATGTTAGGCTGTAGCCCACCGGCAGCCACCTAGTCTTCCCACGGGCAAGGCCAGAGCTTGGTCTTCCCCGCAATAGCGTGTGATTTCAGTACCACCACGTGCACCTCCAAGTTTGTGGAAACCCCAGCAAACATGAAGATATTCATGGTTTTGTGTAGTCCTATCTGCACCGAGTCGGGCGAGCGTGTCATCTGGCTTCAAGGGAACTCGTCCCGGCGCCGCCGGGTGAGCAAGGAGAAGAGTCTCCCCAGCTGCGAAAACACCCTCCTTGATGTCCATCAAGTGCAGAATGAAAGCCCTGCGCCGGGAGCCAAGCCGAGCGCCTGGGATCGAGGGCACCACTGGACGGTGGATCGGGTTTTACACTGTATCAGAATAGAGCGGCTCAGAGAGGAACGACAGAGGCGGAAAGGGAGAAGTGGAGGAATGTGTGCCTTCCCTTAGCACTGGCATAGGGATGGAGTCGTCGTTGTCATAGTCGTCGTCGTCATCATCACCATCCTCAGCGCTTAATCAGGCCACGCGCTGTCCGTTCTCCCCCTTTCCTTCCTGCTTAGCCAGGCGGGATGCAGAGGCGAGCGCGGTCCCAGGGCCGCGTCTGAGCGCCCCTCTCCGCAACCGCCTACACCACGCGTCCCCTTGGCGCGCGCTCGCACCCGCGCCCCTCGGCGTGGACGCGGCCTCCGGGGGTCCCGCGTCCGCCAGCGCCCCCCAGTGGCGAGCGGCTGGGCCTGTGCGCCGCTCCTCGCTCGCGCCGCGCTCGCGCCCTCCCTTCCCGCTCTGCCTCCTGGGCAGTATTTAACCCTCGGGCTGTTGGCCTCGCCTAGCGTGCTGGCATCTCCAGCTTTGCCAGTCTCGCGTCTCCGCCGGCGCGTCTCCCTCCCGCGCCCCCTTTGCCTCCCCGCGGGCGCCCGCTCTCCCCTCCCTCCTCCCCCGGCGCTCGCGGGCTCACTCGCACGGGAAGGAGGAGGCTGCACGCCTCGGGCGGAGGGAGGACTTCCCAGCCGCAGGTTGCGAGTTGGAAGGGTGCGGCCGAAGGAGGTTCGGCGGCGAGAGCCTCCGCCAGGGCGATCTGGGGTAGCATGGCCCGGAGAAGCGCCTTCCCCGCCGCCGCGCTGCGGCTCTGGAGCGTCCTCCCGTGCTTGCTGGCCCTGCGGGCGGAGGTCGCGCCGCCGCGGGAGGAGAGCCTGTACCTGTGGATCGACGCTCACCAGGCGAGAGTGCTCATAGGTAAGGAAGGCCCCCGCCCGCCACCTTCCCCCACCTGTGGCTTTACCCTCTCCAGCGCTTCTGTTCAAGGAGAGATGCGTGCACTTAAGGATCTTTCTACAACTTAATTTCCAAGGAAGGTTGTTCCCCTCCAGCTTTTAATAAGCTATTTTTTTCCGCCTGGAAGTGTATGAGCTTCTCTCAGGAAGCCTAAGCGGATCTAGTGCTCTGATTGTGCAGTTGCTAGTTTCTACGACCGTAGGTTTGGGGGTTGGACCCAGCGTTTGTTCGCACCCGGTAACTCCGTGTCCGCAGGTACCGTTCTTACCCCATGCAGAGGAAAATCGGTTGGTACTCGGACAGGTGCGTAGCGTATATTCATGACCCGTGCCAATTCGTTAATGCTCTTTTTGCATGCAGTTTCTGGTTTGGATTCTTTTAAGTCCACCTAGTTTGATAGTTTTGTTTGTTTTTAAAACCAGGATTTGAAGAAGATATCTTGATTGTTTCAGAGGGGAAAATGGCCCCTTTTACGCACGATTTCAGAAAAGCACAACAGAGAATGCCAGCCATTCCTGTCAATATCCATTCCATGAATTTTACCTGGCAAGCTGCAGGGCAGGTAAGTTCTGATACCAGAAGGGGTGGTGAAAATTACCCTTTAATATTTCCACTGCCCAATAGCAGGTAGAAATAATACGGTGTCATGTGTAGCCTGGTGCCCCCCCCTTTTTTTTTTTTTTACAACTTTTAAGAGTGATTTCTCATGTGATCTCCAAAGCAAATAGTTAACCCTTGATTATTGAAGCATGTCACATAAAGTAAAGATTTCCAAAAGAAAAAGGTAAGCAGTGTGCCTAAGCTTGCTGTTTTGATAGGATTCCGTGTCATCAGGCTGCTAGAGGCGAATACCAACATCACTTCGCCCTGTGATCAGTGACATTAAAACTTAGCATACTATCGAGAAGACTTTTTCTCATAGTATATACTATTCACGTTTGACATTATTTATACTTTATAGCAAGTTTTAAATGCTAAGTATTTTTGACATTGTGCATTAGGAAAAATTGTTGGAACAATGCAAATGCTGTATGTTTCTGGTTGAAGTTCATAGCCTCAAAAAGTGTCATATAAGAATGTTTGTAAAATACTGTAGACTATTGATTTTTTTAAGTACCACTTTAAATACTTTCATATGGAAAAAGAAAACTGCAGTATATTTTCATGAAGAAGCATACCTTTTATTTCTTAGCACATTACCATCCTTCGCGTTACATCCTTTGTATGCTACCTTGCCTACAGTTCCAGTATTACATAAATGAGCTCTAATTTTGGAAAGAAAAGAAGAATAAATGTTATGTGGGTTTAATTTCTTTTGTGCAGTTGGAGAATTTACTGTAGAGGACAGTAAGTAATAAGTAAGTAATAAATTCTTTTATTCATTAGTCAGTAAAATATGTCCACTATGAAAGTCATTGTATTCGTAAGTAAGATCACATTCTCAGGTCCTTTCTTAATTCCAAAATCACTTAAGTGGCCTATTTCATGAAGAATGTGATCCAGAAGACACTTAATTAAAAGTACTCATTTTGAATTGAGAAACCACTTTGTGTCTCTCTAATTATCTGTTTTATTTTGGGCATGATCATTTTAAGTGTCATTTTTCCCTCAGGTCTGTTCTGTCATTATTCCCCCTAACATAAACCAAATCTAGACTCATCAACACTTCTATCATTGTAAATAAAATAGATGTTTTGGATTCACCAGGGTTCATAACAGGAAGGTCATCTATTCTCATACCCCCATTTGGCAGATAAGTTCACTGAGGCTTCTATTGCTCTAAAAGAGACTGCCCCTCTTCTTCCTATAGAATTCCCTCTTCATAGGTATTTTATGGACAATTAATGTTGGGATATTGTGAAATCAGTAATAAATTAATGAATGACCTTTATCATCTCCTTTTTATTTTCACCTGAATCTGTGTTTGAACATTTGTCAGATGGGATCAATATTAATTCAGTAGTTTTTTTTTCTTAAATGTTTATTTATTTTTGAGGGAGAGTGAGGGAGGGGCAGAGACAGAGGGAAACAGAGTATTGAAATTAGGCTCTATGCTGAGAGCAGAGAGCTTGATGGGAGGCTCGAACTCACAAACCGTGAGATCGTGACTTGAGCTGAAGTTGGACACTTAACTGACTTAGCCACCTAAGCTTCCTTGATTCAGTAGTTTTTAAAAGGACACTTTCTTTACCTATACTTTCATGAATTTGTAAGAACCATCGGAAGGTAGCTTAACTGACACCTCTTGCTAGCTGAAAGCGTTTGGTAACTGTAAGAGAAGCAAAAGGTATCAGCGTTTCTTATTTATTTGTTTTTTTCATATGTGTTTGTCTTCTGAAGAATGGAATTTGAAGCAAAGGCTTAATTAAATGCCATGCTATCTCCCTTGTTGGTTTATGGCATAGTGCAGGTTTGCAAACACTGGCATAGTTGAGTACGAAATGAAACACAGATCAATCTCCAGAATGTCTCTTGTAAAGGATTAGAGAAGACGTCGAACTGGCATGGAAATAAGGCTTCTAGCATCTTTTCCCCCGTTTAGATGTTCATCACCATTGTGGCTTATCTCATTACGCTGGACAATGTTAGCAAGCAGCTCAGTTATCTTGCTCTTTCTGCTTTCTGCTCTGGGTAGGTATTCTGGTGTCTGTCTTATTTAGCAGGAGGGTAGGTGAGGTGGATACGATTTACACAATGCCAAACAGTGGGACATTTAAAAATGTTATTTAAATTTTACTTATTTTACTTACTCAATAACGTTATATGACTCCAGCAGCATCATTTTTGAAATGCATGGAAATTTTGAAGATGAGAAAAATAATCACTTCAATACCAATTAAGTATTTTGAAAGGCATCTCTGGCTAAAGCCAAACCACATCAAAACATCTACATGGAAAATGAAAAGCTCACTCCATTATCTAGTTATTTCATCCAAATAATACCAAGCATTTAAAGATTTCAACACAAGTAAAAACACACAGCTGATTACTGAAATTTAAAGCTGAATATTTAAGTGTTTTGGCAGCACATGGAGAACGTTAGAATAACTTTAGGACTGAAGACCTAGAGGCAGTAGGTATTATCTACTTCCAATGAATTATTAGTCCATTAACCCCAAGTATTCTCAGGGCCATCTGAAATAACTTTTATGTTCTACTTCAAAGAAATGGAAATAAAAATTACAGTGAGATTCATTTCCCCACATCAAGTTGGTCAGGTTTTTAAGAGTGTTCTAAGTATATGGAGAATTGGGTATGATTGTATGTGGCTGATGGCCCTGTGAGCCTTTTTGCAGGGCAATTTGCTTCTGAGGGCAAAAGGCTTGTTACAGATCCTTTGGGAAATTTTCCTTCCAGAGAGTCATCCTAAGGAAATAATTGTGGATATGAATAAACATTTAGGTGCAAGACTGTTCCTCATTATGCTCTTTTTTTTTTAAATATTTTTTTATTTATTTCTAGGAGAGAGAGAGAGAGAGACAGCGTGAGCAGGGGAGGGTCAGAGAGAGAGAGAGACACAGACTCTGAAATAGGCTCCAGGCTCTGAGCTGGCTGTCAGCACAGAGCCCAACGTGGGGCTCAAACCCACAGTGTGAGATCATGACCTGAGCCGAAGCTGGACGCTTAACCGACTGAGCCACCCAGACGCCCCTCTCATTATACTCTTTATAAAAGTCAAAATGGGTAGGATTTAGAGGTCCAGTGATAGTGGCAGGAGAATGCAATGAAGCATTAATAAGAATATTCTAGAGATCTACTCAACACCATAGAAGGAGGCTATTCATGACAGATTAAGTCAGCAGTCTATAACAGTATATTCTGTTTGGTTCCATTATAAAATATGTAGGCAGACATAGGAACAACCATCTGATAAACCTCTGACTCTCCCGAGTATTAACATTAGCCACATCTGCGTATTTTACATTTTTGTTTTTCCACAGTGAATGTGTATTGGTTTGTAATTTCAAAAAACGATTTCACATAAAATATGTGCAAAAGCTATACTTTATAGAGTTTATGCTTGTATGATGTTCTACATTATGAGTTTACTTATATTTATTATCCAGTGTCCTTTTTTAAAGTTTTTAAAAATGTTTATTTAATTTTGAGAGGGAGACAGACAGAGTGTGAGCAGGGGAGGGGCAGAGAGAGAGACACACAGAATCTGAAGCAGGCTCCAGGCTCTGGGCTGTCAGCACAGAGCCCGACGCGGGGCTCAAACCCATGAACTGTGAGATCATGACCTGAGCCAAAGTTGGACGCTCAACCAATTGAGCCACCCAGGTGCCCCTCCAGTATCATTAAAAAATTTTTTTCTTTATTTATTTTTGAGAAAAAGAGAGAGAGAGCACAACCGAGGGAGGGGTAGAGAGAGAGGGAGGCAGAGGATCTAAAAAGGGGCTTTGCACTGACAGTAGAGAGACGTGGGGCTCAAACTCACGAACCTTGAGATCATGACCTGAGGCAAAGTCAGATGCTTAACCAACTGAGCCACCCAGGTGCCCCAATACAGTATCATTTTTACACTACACATCACTCAACAAAATGGTACAGCAAGTGGTTTTCTTAGCTGATCATAGATATGGAACCCAAAGAATTCACTAATGCTTCTCTGACTCTCACCAGTTTATTTTAAGATCCCTAAAACTCTGCCTAGGAAGGCTTTCCTATCTGACATCAGATGGCCTGACCTCTTTCTCTCACTGAAATCCTCATTTTCCATTGAAAACTCTATCTCTACTGTATCTCCCATTTAAAACACTCATTTTCTGACATGCCCTTCTCAAGGCCCTTAGATCAGAGAAGAATTTCTATTAAAGAGGTTGAGGCTTAAAGCATTTTTTCAGTAATTAAGGGAAAATACTCTTTATTGCTATATATAACTTTTAATAGTTGATATTTTTCAATGAGGCATTCCTTATTCTAATTTTTCTCCACATTTGGGACAGGTAGGGGCCATGAGTGACCATTTTGGTTTTCTAAACGATGCGCTAATTAAACATTTTATTTGGAAAATAACCCTTTCTGAAACGAATGGCTTTCAAATAAAACTTTAATGAGAAACTTTGTCAGACAAATCTGAATTCTAATATTAGGACACCACTGCTGATTTCCATATGAACCAATTTGGTTCAAGGCCAAAATTTTTTGTTTGTATAGATCATAGAAATAGATCTTTATAAAAATCATATAGACTTGAACTTAACAACTGTAATGTATTCTGTCACCTGCACGTAGATGCCAAGGTACTATGAATCTAGTACCCAGATAATAGGCCATCTCTTTTTATGTTGGCTTTTCCCACAGTGGTGATGGATTCATGCTGAGTCATCTGTACAAGTTTTCCAACCTCCTTGTGACCAAATACCTGGATTGCTGAGATGGCTGGCAAGGGTTGGGGTGAAACTGGTGTGTGTGGAATAGAAATTCTCTGGGTAAAGATAACCAGCCAGTATTAACTTCCAACCACCACGTGGATTACCAAGCAAGCTCTAAGCATCTGCACCAATAGGTCCAGATCTTAAAGTCAGCTGTAATTATGTGTAGTGGTCACAATTCTTATAACCACTAGAAGCCAGGGATTGAGCTTCATTTTCGTCAGTTTCAAGATGTTTAAAAACAAAACTTAAAAGTGTCCTTGTGGATAACAGGAAAGGAAGGGAGGGAATTTTGTCTGCTCCGCAGGGAAGTGGGTGGTCCCATGTATCTTGTGGAAGCACTGACTGTTGGGTTAAACTGCAGAAATGCACCTGCACTGACTATTGGGTTAAACTGCAAAAAACGCGCTCCTTTGTTTCATGTATCACTGCACAGAACAGAAAATACTACATAGGCCGAAGATACAAAAATACTACATAGGCCGAAGATACACTGTATCGAGAACAATGTTTTCCAATTATGTAAGGAACATAAGCCTTCCTAGAGTCCCTACCAATTCAAAACCGTTTTGAATCATTCCAAACTGCCCGACATAATAACAATAATAATACAAGATCAAGTATGCATAAAGCTAAGGACTTTGCCTGGGTAGTAGCGTCTCTGTGAGTGACTCCAGTCAGTAGCACCCAAATCAGCTTTAAAATGAGGAAGGTACCGTTGAAAAAAGAAAATAAAATAAAGAAAAGAAAATAAAGAAAATGAAATTTCTTCTATTAAATAAAATAAAATTTCTTTTATTAAATAAAAAGAAATCATTTGCCTGGAAACTGACTCAGATTTTTGCTAATTTTTTAAAAAAGTGGAATCATTCCGCTGATGTGCTTCTGTAATATGAACTAGATAATCCAATCCTGTCATTAAAATGTCCCTATAGCTCCGGATAGCTTGTCGTCGCACTATCGTGCTTGGTAGGCTGTCCCACGGGCCCCATTAAACCAGCCGAATTTGCTCTCTCAGACTTCCCACCAGACTCTTTGAGGAAACCTGTATGAAAATTGGGGTTTTTTTTCCTTCTTTTCTCCCCTTGACAAAATTGAGAGAAATTCAGCAGAGAGTGGGTTTTAATTCAGGCACTACCTCTCCCTCTTCAAAGGAACTGCCAAATGTCCTTACCCACCTCCTTCCAATTCCGTAAGTTATGGTAACACTTACTATTATTATTTAAATCCCTTAATGTGTACTGTCCACATTTTTTCCTAATGGAGTTATGATTGTTTTGGTAGTTACAGCCCAAGTGCTTGCATACTTTCGTGCTCCTGGGGTTTGCCATCATACCTTTGCAGTGGTTTTATGTCACCAAATGGAGGAAATGCCTCGTTTTTTGAACCCTGGTCCCTGGTTTCAAAGTGGGAATGTGAATATGTTTACATACTGTGGGCATGAGTTTTTGAAGAAGGTACTCCTATCAAAAACGCAGCTTTAAACTTTTAATGTTTAGATTCTGCTAGGCTGTGGTATTTTGCATTGTGGTGGTGTGGACATGCCATTGGATCAAAGAGTAACTCTGCAGAGAGCCCATTTCATTTAGCAAAGCAGGCATGTGCCAGCCATCTGTTGTATCTGCTGATAGAAAACAGCAGTAAGTTTCTCAAACTTTTGCCAGAAAAAAAAAAAAAAAAAGCTTTATTGCTTAGAGGAGATGAGTTATAAGGTACCTTGTAAGCCCCATCTGGTTCTACAGCGATTTACATGGCACAAATGTAAACTCCTCTACGTCTTCCTTACACGGTGGTATAAAGGCTCATAAACAGACCCTTCGCCACTATCCTCTGTGTTTATGCCTGACTTTAAAATGCTGGCCCAAATAAAAATCTTTTAAATTGTTGTGGTGAAGTGGAAAGGAATGACATTCAATAAAGCATTTTGTTTTGGATTAAACTCATTTAACTTAAATGTCCCTGATGTGTTGTGAGAGGAAAAGTTTGGGGATAAAGAGTTTAGTGAAAATGTTCTTCAGCCTGTAGCTGGATCTCTGGAGGAGGCACTGTCAGGTAGGGATTCTTTTGCTGCAAAAAGTTGGCCAACTTGCCCCATTTGCCAGCCTGGGAGTAACTTGGTTACATCGCTGTGAACCCTTAGTGGACAGGGAGTTGTTCGCTGCAGTGTTTCTCTGCCTCAAGCACTCAGTCAGTCAACAAACATAGACAACAGGGGCACCTGGGTGGCTCAGTCAGTTAAGCGTCTGACTTTGGCTCAGGTCGTGATCACATGGTTTGTGGGTTCGAGCCCCACATTGGGCTCTGTGCTGATGGCTCAGAGTCTGGAACCTGCTTCTGATCCTGTGTCTCCCTCTCTCTCTCCGGCTTGTACCTCCCTGGCTTGCACTCTGTCTCTCTTTCTCTCTCAAAAATAATAAATAAACATTATTAAAAAACACAAGCATAGACAATAGACATAGAGCACACAAAGAGGAATAAACATGGTCCCTGCCCTCAGGGAGCTCACAGCCTACAAAACAAACATTCATTAAACTCAGCCAAATGAGGTTAGAAGGTATAGGATTGGTTGATGGCACAAAGAATGCCACGCTTTTCCCTGAGCTCTTCACTGAGCTCACTGAGTAGGTGTGTCTGAATTAATTTCTGAAGGATGAGGAAGCATCCATCAGATCGGCAGGGTAGGAAAATACCTTCTAAGTGGAGAGCTCAGGATGTTAAGTGCATGGGGGTCTTAAAAGGGAAGACAAGTCGTAGGTGTTCATGAATGGTCTCGTACACATCTGAGAGGTCATGGGGATGACCTGTCACTGAAGGGGATGTCAAGGTCAAATAATGGAGATGGTTCTGGAGAAGAAGAGAAGGTAGAAACAGTTCAGGGATAGTTCTCTATTCTCTACTGTGAAAAGAATGGACTCAACATTTTGCAGGTTTGTCCCTGAGACATAGTAAGTAAATCTTTGGGTTATGTGTTGAGTAGACAGTGGCTTTTCTACAATCATCATTTAGCTCTTCTTTCTTACTAAACTTTCGGAAAATTTTGTGATGGTTAGAGTCTGCTCCAAGTTAATTTTTTCCATTTTTTCCTTTTTTTTTCTTTTTTGGCAGTTAGGGTATGGAACTGTTTTAAAAAAACACATTTTGTGAGTGCATAGAACTTTTTTAAAAATCAATTTAATTTTCTAATGGAAACTAGAACTTTGAACTCAATGTCAAAGGAAGCTTAAATAAGGAAAACGGTATGCTAATTTGCATAAGAATTGATTTAGCATCTATTCCCAACTCCCATACCTTTTTAAGTAAGTATAAGAAAAGTACAATAAAGGTATAGAAATTACACTTGGAAGGTGATGCTCCTGTATAAATGATGAGAAGTGGACACTGGATGTTGAGTTACTTAACATAAGCCTGATTCTTCAAGTATCTGATTTTCTTTAAAAATCTACTAGTTAAGAGGCACCTCTACTAGTTAAGAGGCAGATCAGTTAAGCATCTGACTCTTGATTTTGGCTCAGGTCATGATCTTACGGTCCTGAGCCTGAGCCCCATGCTAAGTGTGGAGCCTGCTTAAGAGTCTCTCTGCCCCTCCCCTGCTCATGTGCACGCTCTCTCTCTGTTTCTCCAAAACAACAAACAAACAAACTTAGCAGTTAAAATTCTAAAATCATAGGACAATTTCTGTTCTCTGTTTCTTTCAGACATGTGGATTTTGTCTTCTTTTTGAATTTTATAGATGAATGTGATTTGTCAGGGATCATTTGAAATCATTCACCTGAACACGATCCCACAGAGAAGCTATGTACTGTGTGGGCCTGAAACAGTGGACAGATTCAGGATGACTTAGCTGGCAATATGAGAAAGGAGATGAATACAGTTCTTGCTTAGCTGCTCTTGGCCAGAACCCAGATCGTACCCCAGGGAGGCAACACATGAGCGAGAACTAATTTTCTGCCCTTGAGAAAATTAGAAGCTCACTGGAGAGGCAGATATAGACAAATACATCATCCTGATAATTGCTGTGAAGTGGTAGTCGTGCAGGACTAGGGCATTCTCAGGTTATAATGAGAGCACAGAGCAGTAACTCTAGAGCTGAGCCTGACTATTAAGCTAGCCAAGCAAAAATGTGGGAGAGGGGAAGGTTTTTAGGGAAAGGAAACAGCTTAAGGCAAGTATAGAGACCAGAAAGACATTATCTGGGAACCAGGACTTTGGTGTGGCTGGAGTGTATGTGCAAGCAGGAAGTGGAGAGTTGGTCCTAGAGGACTTTGTCCAGCATGTTAATGCATCTTGTGTTTACAGATGATGTTGAGTTAGTCCATGAAAAAGTATAAAGCACGGTGGACTGTAGGGTCAGAGCTACATATTTAGATATTGTGTTGGTGGGATAGAAGATAGCTTTGAGGGGAATTGACTGCAAGGAGAGAAATCAGGGATAATTTGAAATACAAGCTCAGGGATGAAAAGAAAGGAAAAATGGATTGGGGAAATATTTAGGAGATAAAAATACAAAAGTCTTGGTGCTAGATATAAAGAGCATCTCATTTCCTCCACTACCTTCTTCATTAACTCCGCAGTAACCCTGTTAGCCTTCCTGCCCCAGGAAGGCTTTGCACATGAAGTTTCTGCTGCTTAGAATTTACTCCTGCTAGATTTCTGTGTGGCTTGCTCCCTCACTTCCCCTGTGTCCAATCAAATGTCATCTCCTCTAATAGACTTTGCCTGACTCCCCTCTGTAAAATGTCAACCACCACCCTCATGACTCTTGAGTCTCTTTCTCTACTATATATTTTTATGGTCCCTAGAATCATGATTATGCTTGATTATATTTTATTTTAATTGTTGAATCCTCCCATTCAATGTAAGCTCATGAGAACAAGGACTTTGTCCTGTTCACCATGTAACAACTCCAGGTCCTAGAAGAGCTCCTGACACACAATAAGCAATCAATAAACTATTTGTTGAATGAATTAATACATGATGTAGATCCCATTATTATTCCCAGTTGATAGATAAGGCAACCGAGACAGAGAGGAGCAAACGAAACATGGGTAGCAATTGGCAGAGCTGGAACTCAAACCTAGGCAGTTGGGATCCAGAGCCTATGCTCTGATAAGTGCTAAGTAGAGGCATGAACATCGAATGGGAACACAGAGGAAGCAACAAGTAACTCTGGTTGAGGAAGGAGGGGAAGGCTTCACCAGAGAATACACAGTAATTGAACCAGGACTTGAAGCTGTTTAATGGGCTGAGACAGGCACCAAGTGTAGGGAGAAGGACTGTCACAGCAGCAGCACAGGATCTGGGAGAGTGCATTCTGGGAAAAGGTAATGGCACCCGGTCAGGGGCTGGATGTATGCAAGGGAAAATACGGGGGCCTACGGCTGGGATGCAGGGTGTGTGTGTGTGTGTGTGTGTGTGTGTGTGTGTATAGATGAGGCTAGATATTTGGGAAGGACCAGAGGGAGAAACAGTAGAATCCACGGAAAGATCACTTAATTCTTTTATCTATAAGAAAAGCAGTTTAGATTACCTCTAAAATGCTTTCCAGGGGCACCTGGGTGGCTCAGTTGGTTAAGCTTCTGACTTTGGCTCAAGTCACGATCTCATGGTTTCTGAGTTCAAGCCCTGCATCAGGCTCTGTGCTGACAGCTAAGAGCCTGGAGCCTGCTGTGGATTCTGTGTCTCCCTTTCTCTCTGCCCCTCCCTCGCTTGTACTCTATCTGTCTCTCACTCAAAACTAAATAAACATTAAAAAATAAAAATAAAATAAGAAAATAAAATGCCTTCCAAATTCTAAAAAATGTTTCTATCTCTTAAGTAAAACATCTTTAATCATTTAACATTAACGGTAATGTCTGTATTCACACTGCAATATCTGTCTCCATTTTTAAAAATCAAGACATAAAGATTCTTCCTCCAAAATTGTCTTGTTTTTTGTGAAATTTAAAGAGGTTCATCTCAGAATACTCCTTTACTTACCGTATGTTGATGATAATACTCAATACTTGCATAGCACATACTTGCTGTGCACTTTGTAGATACTGTCTCATCAGATCCTCACAGAAAGCCTGAGGGAGGCAGGAATATTGTTCCCAGTTTATAAATGAGGAAACTAGGGTGTAAGGAAGTCAAATTACTTACTTGAGACTACACAGCTAAGAATACTTATGTACACGTTTGTATACTTTAGAGATCTTCTTGTAATAACTTCTGGAAAGTCTTCTCATTCAAAAAATAACAGTTCAAAAAACAATTTATCAATGCTCATTCATCCTAGGTTTCTGAGAATACAAGTTTTAATTGATCCAACTGCCTTCTAGGACTTCACCAGCTGGTGGTAAAGACCATGGCATCAATAAGGCAATAATAATTGTGGTGAGCTCTCAGGGCTAACATGTGTGGTTGCGCAGGGTTTTTCATTACCTAAGCGAACCTGACCAAAGTGGCAAGTTCAACCTGACCAAACCGAAACCCGGCTCTTTGACACTTCACCTGTCAAATCTGATAGCATGCCACAGAGCTGCCTCTGTCCAGAGGGGCACTTCTACCTAATTTGCACACGGCCTTCATATGGGCTAGGTGGCCCCCATTACATGCCCTAAGAGAATTGCTACGGGAGCATAAACCCGGAGGGTTTTGCCATTGATCAAGTAAATGTACAATTACTTACACCCTCAAGAAGATATCACAGGAGAGGTAACATCTAAATGGGGTCACAAAAAATGTTCTGTAGGCAGAGCGTGGCCCAGGCAGGTGGGGCTGGGATGGACATTCTGAGTATACTGAATGACGCCTAGGAAGGTACATGGATTGAAAATCATTGGTGTAGTTAGAGTAGGACTATTAGTCCCAAAAAGTTTGAGAAGATGATGATTTCTGTATGGCATAGTAGACTCGTATTACAGAAAACAGGGAGCATGATAACAGAGATGCTAACGTCATGTCTGCATGCAAGGTAACTTTGGTGCCAGATGGAGGGTAGATGCTGGGGTGCCTGGCTGAGGACAAGGAAACAATTAGGAAGTTTTAAAAGACATTACAAGGTGACAAGAGTGTAAGGAAGGCAGACAGGAGAGAGAGAGAGAGAGAGAAGAAGAAGCAGATCCCAGAGATATCTCTCAGGATAAATTGCCATGTGGGTGCTTTGGTAATGAGGTTGACTCTGAGCTGGCCGGACAGATGGTTGGATGGTTATGTCTTAACTGAGAAATTAATTACAAGAGTCAGCACAGGACAGTTTGAGGTACAAAAACAGTGATGTCCATTTGGAACTTTCTAAACACGAGTTTTCTGCTGAACATTCAGATCGCAGAGTCTGGTATGAATTTGAAAAGTTGAGTCTAGAGCAAAGTTATGAGTTGCAGAATAGAAAGATTGATTTTGGAGATTTAGAGTTTTTCTTCTCTACCTAGCTCTCTTCCTTTCTTGTTTTGACCTCAACTCAATAGATAGTTGGGGGCCTACAAAATGCCAAAGCTTGTGCTGAATGCTAAAAACAGATATGTAAGTTGTATATGAAGCTTGCCCTCAAGGAGATCAAGCTTGCCCTCGGTCTAGCGTGTCAACAGATATGAACAAAACAACAACAATGCAATATTAAATGTATTATAATTGCGGAGTGAACAAAGTGCTGTGAAAATACTGAGGAGGGAGCGTAACTCTTTTGAGAGAGAAGTGAATTAATCTACAAAGGGTTTCAGGGCATAGCCTGAAGCCTGTAAAACTAATATATGCACACTTGGAACAATTCTGCTTAACTTCATGGCTTTTATATACCTGAGACAGTATGGCCTAATGCATTCTACTTTCTACTTGCTATTATTATTGTTGTGGTGGTGGTGGCTGTGGTTGCTATTGTTGTTGTTTTGGAAAAGAATACAACAAATGTCACTATACCACTAGGTGACAGAGACTTAATTCTCCAGAATTAAGTGTCTAGAAATACTCTTGAGGAAACAGTCTGTGGGAGCTGAATATATGCCCGAATAAACCAACACCATAGAGCTTGTTAGGATGCCTGGTTTGCAAGGACTACTTCAGTATTAGTCATGGATGCACCACCAGGGGTGGGGGGCAAGGGGAGGCAGTGGGATTCACATCTGAAGTCAACTCTAAGTAGATTTATCTCCTATTGAAGGTAATACCCAGATGCATCCCCAATAAACTTGTAAAATTCCTCTGATATTTGCCTTTTGAGTACTTCTAGTGAAGACAGTTCACTCATGTCATTTGTTAATTCAATCAAGATTCTGGTTTCCAGTTGGAACTTGGTAAGACTTTGGAATTCTATTTATACTGCTGTCACTTACAGCTGTAGCCAGCAGGTGGCAATGTAAAAGTTACTTCTTTGTGGAATTTTCCATCTCAGCATTTTTTAAGGCTGTGTCTAACAGAGACCGAGTTGCGGGGTACTGTGATCTTACATAACTCATTTCAATAGGCCATTAATATATGCAGTAAGTTAGAAAATAAACTATCTCAAACTCCATGTTACTGAAAGCATCAAGACTCATCATAAATTTGAGAACTCATCCTAAATAACTACTAATGTGAATGACTTCATTATACCCTGATTCTACTGTTTCTTCCTTTTAAACAATTACTCAATCTCAGGCAGGAGTCAAGCTTTGAGTTATCTCTCCATATTCATGCAGAGATTTCTTTGCCTTCTCTGGCTGTATCTTTAGGTATCAACAGAATAGCAGAGTTGGAAGATATCCCAGAGCTCATTCACCCCATCAAGCCCAACCTTTTTCTGAAGCATCCAGGAGTTGTGGTCTCTTAACTTCTAGTTGAACATGCTCAGTGGCAGGGAACTTACTAAGGCAGATGTTATGGAATCATTTTAATTGTGTTGATCATAGAAAGTTTTCTTCATAACTGGCCACAACCTGCCTTTCCCGCTGTGACTTGAACCTCCCAAGACTCCACCAGTCTGTGGACTCACATTGGGCCTTGCATTTATACCCTGAAGTTTGTTGACTTGTCCTCTCTTTGCTAACGTAGGGTCTCTGGTTCATTTACTCCTGCTTCTTTCCTAGCAAAGACCAACTGCTTCTGTGAATTCTTAGAAGGACTCCACACAGGCCATCCTGGAGGGAGATGTCCTGACCTTTGCTGCTACAATGTGGTCCTGGTGAGACCTGTCAGGTCTAGATGCAGCCTCTCCACGCTCCCTAAGCTATAAAGACTCAAGAGGCCATAGAGGACTGTATTCTCCATAGGCCTTACCATCTCGGAGCAACTTGGTGTTTTGTGCAGAAATGGGGAGTCTACCCTGTTCCTCAATTTGACACTGAACTTTGTCACTTGGCACCTAAAACAGCATGACCTAAGACTCTTGATCCCAACTAGACACCAACATTAATTTCCTGCAGCCCGTGTCCCCAAACATCCCCAATTTCTCCAGCTCCTTCATATAAGCAGTTTTGCATTTCTTCAACCTCAATTCCTAAATACTTAGCAAATGTATAAAATTATCACAGATGGAATTTACTGGTACTTTACTCTTTATAGTCTGATGAGAAAATAGTTCACTGCTAGAATTGGAGATCTACTTCTAGAATTGTGAAATCATCTTTTGGTTTATAAAACTTGGGATAAACTAAAGAAGAAGGAGAAGAAAAGGGAGGGGAAGAAAAACAGAAAACAGTTAGCACTTATTAAGGTATTCTGTGTGCCAGCCACTGTGCTAATAATCACTTTTCATCACTATCTAGTTTAACTCAACAACCCTATGAGATAGCATTACTAATATTCCTGTTGTACAAAAATGGCAACTGGGTCACAAAAAGGTTATGCAAGTTGCCTAAGTTCACACGTCTAGTGGGTAGTGGAGTCAGGATTTAAACTAGATCATCTGAGTCCAGAATCCTTGATGAAATGGCATCTTGAACTCTTTCAAAACAGAGATTTTTCCTGAATCTGCATCTTTATTCTTTAGGCATTTTATTGCGTGCACACCATGTGTTGGGAAGCATGGGCTAGATAAGGACCCTGACCAATAAGAGCTGACACTGTCAGAGGACACAAACAGCATGGTTTTTGTAAATTTTGTTGACTCACTTGAAACTGTCATCTTTAGTAGGTCAAAATGGTTGAATTTCATGTGATTTAACTTAATAATAAGAATTGACATTTATTGGGGCGCCTGGGTGGCTTAGTCGGCTAAGCGTCCAACTTTCGCTTAGGTCATGATCTCACGGTTCGTGGGTTCGAGCCCCGCGTCGGGCTCTGTGCTGACTGCCAGCTCAGAGCCTGGAGCCTGTTTCAGTCTGTGACTCCCTCTCTCTCTGACCCTCCCCTGCTCATGCTGTCTCTCTCTCTCTCTCTCCTAGAAATAAATAAAACATTAAAAAAAATTAAAAAAAAAAAAAAGAATTGACATTTATTGGATATTTACCTCGTGCCAGAAGCTCTTCTAAGTAATTATAGGGATTATCCCATTTAATTCTTGGATCAATTCTGTGAAGTGAAGATTCTATTTTTATCTTGGTTAGGATTAGGGCTTGAACCCTGGCAGTCAGATGCCAGAGTAGGTGTGTCTATGTTATTTCAACCTCTGTGTTATACAAGAGTAGGCCGATCTGCCCATCCAAATCAATTTTTAAAGAAGCAGCTCCATTTAGAGAGTCCTACCTTATGAGGCAAATATCAAATCAACTAAGTCAAAATCTAGTTCAGAAGCTAAATGGAACAAATACAAAATCCACTTGACTCCAGACTGGCTAAATGTCTCTGGTTCCCAAAGTTTGATCATTAAATGTATCTGATTTCTTGGATATCTGCAGGCTTGAACTTGGAGAGTTATCATTGCATGTCCTGTGTTGTCTGGGGTTTGAGGGAACATTTACTCAAAAACTGAGGGAGACCGTGCAAATTAGTACAGCTTTCTTGAATTAGGGCAAGAGATTTCTATCATTCCGCTAATGGCAGTGACACCTTTCTATATCGTACTTAATAGTTTAAAACATGCTTTCATTTATATTGTTTCATTAAATTCACTCAGTCCTCCTAATGACTAAAAAACTATGCATTGCTGAAACTGTAAATAATTAAATATGAGGAATAACTGTGATAATTTGCAGTGGATGGCCTTTGGC